AGATTATGACTTTAGTACATGTATAGATACTGCTTTATCATGTGCGAGCGACTTCGGTGCTTATGTACGTACGCACATGTACTGTATTTAGGTGTGTTCCGACTTACGTCAGAATTCGGGTTACGACGCCATCGTAGGATCGGATCTCCGTCATAAGTCGAGGACCCCTAGCGGTGGTGTTTAACATTATAAAGTAAAGATAATAAATGATGTAATCATAATAATAACGTATAATCCTATTTAAAATGACAGTGATAAAATATACAAGTACAGTTTATAGAAATAGTTTTCATGTGGCGTTTATTCATTAATTACGTCGATTATTTCTGCTATATTTCGTTATTAGATATCGATAGGAATCACTTAATATCTGATGGGTCTGAAGATGCAAAATGGTTCTAGAAAAATAACTATTCATACTTATGCTTATTAGTTCAATTACAATATTTACAGTGATAACAATAGTAATGATGATGGCAATAACAATAGTAGTGATGATAATATTGATAGTAATAGTAATAATTAATGGTAGTCGAATTGTTCCTGTATTCTTATGGTTATCATTATTTTTACCATTGTCATTATAATTATAATCATTATCATATTTCATGATCATCTGCATGGAAGACAAAAGAAACGGAGAATATTAGTATTTGTGGAGCCATTACATTACAAAAAACATGTGTATCATATTTGTTAGACATGTAAATTCTTGTTTATTATCAAAAAGTAACCATAAACAATCTCTTAAGTCACGTAAAGGAATTCGAACGAATTCCTCAATTATCAATGTTGCCTTTGATGTCAATTGCCTTACGCTTTATTGACTCTACTGAACTTAAAGATAGACGTTATACCTTTCAGTATAATCTTATGCTATTTTTACATGCGTTTGATTATGAAATATCTTTTACATACTCCTTAAATGGCTAAATGAAGAGTTGCAAAATGAAATATAAGAAGTGTTTGGCATTTTCCCCATTCGGCGATGGCGCATGCGTGTTGACGAGCTGACGACAGGTTGGCACGCCTGTGTTGGCAGACCTTAGACGAAATTACTTGAAATCCGGCAGAAAAAAAAGAGTTACAAGAAATTGCAGCAATGGACGCTGCAGATAAAGCCTGATATTGTTATCAATAGGCCAAGCATCAGAGGAAAACGGCAGTAGAACAGTAGAAGAAATATTCTTGATAAGTTTAACTGTAACATGTTGGCATGCCTGTGTGGGTCGACGAAATTACTTGAAAACCGGCGCCCAAAAAATTCAAATTACAAGAAATTGCAGATATGGCCGCCACAGATAAGGAATATTGTTATCAACAGGCGAAGCATCAAAGAAAAACTGCTGTAAAACGAAAATAGACATATTCTTGGTAAACTGAACTGTAAAAGTATAAATTTAAGGAGAGGTAAATAAAAGCCTTCGTAGAAGGTCGAAAAAACAGGATAAAAGATAAACAGACTAATAAGATACGATAATATAGATTTTATTTCGACTTATTCTTATTTATACGATACAAAAAAAAATGAAAAGAAAAGAAAAAAATAAGACGAAAGAGAAAAGAAATAGATAAGATAAAAAAAGGAAAAAGAAAGAAAGACAGAATAAAAAAAAAACACAATACTGCATCAGCGCATATGTCTTTTTCCTTAATTTTATCCTTTTAATCCCCCGCCCCCAAACCGCTCAAAGACAAGCCGGCAAATGGGCGTGAGGGAACACCCAGAACCCGAGGGCTGTGGGCGGCAAGACCAGCACGCCCCGTGAAACTGCGCGCGGGTGCATTGTGGGTAATTCGTTCGATGACGTCACGCGGAGTCGCTGGCCATTCAGCATGACGGATCTGGGGTGGGGGTGGGGGTGGGGGGTGTTAGAGGGGGGTGGGGGGTGAGGGAGAAGGGAAAATTAGAAATATTTTTAAATATATTGATATGTAACGTATTTATGACATATTTCAATGAAAGAAACACTGATATGAATACTGAATTTGTAATGAATTGTTAATATATTAAACTAAAATAAACATTGATATTAATACTGATTTTGTAATAAATTATTGATATATCAAACTAAAATAAACATTGATATTAATACTGATTTTGTAATGAATTGTTGATATATTAAACCAAAAGAAACATTGATATTAACACTAATATTGTAATGTATCTACGATATATTACAATGAGAAAACACTGATAATAATAATGAAAATTGCAGAATAAATATTGGTATCAGTACTAATATTGTAATTCATTTCTGATATATTACAAAGAAGGAAACATTGATATCAATATGAATGTTATGTTTCTTCTTGATATCGAAGAAATGAGACGGAGACAAATAGCAATATCGTAAACAAATATGATAAACAATTATATATATACATATGAGTGTGTGTGTGTGTGTTGTGTGTGTGTGTGTGTGTGCGTGTGTGTGCGTGTGTGTGTGTGTGTGTGTGTGTGTGTGTGTGTGTGTGTGTGTGTGTGTGTGTGTGTGTG